TTTCTTAGTGATAGGAAACACATCTTATTTTAATATACTTAAAATTTATTAGTGATGTTGATTTCTATATTGCTTTTTTTTCCCTATGGTTGTTAACTGTTGTGAATTTTCTGTTCAAGTACTGGGTTGTTTTTTTTCTGCAAGGTGATAGCATTTTTATTTCTGAGGTTTGGTTTTTTTAAAAAAATATAGAGGGGCTACTGGGTGGCTCAGTTGGTTGATCGGTTGATCGTCTGCCTTCGGCTCAAGTCATGATCCCAGAGTCTGGGATCGAGCCCAAGGTCGGGCTCCCTGCTCGGTGGGGAGCCTGCTTCTCCCTCTCCCTCTGCTCCTCCCACCCCACTCATTCTCTCTCTCTCTCACTCTCTCAAACAAATAAACAAAATCTTTAAAAAATATACAGAATTAGATTTTTTACCTTGTGTCATGTAACAGTCTATTTTCTTACTGCCGATTTCCTTTGGGTTGGATAAATAATTAATTTGGATTAAATTAATAATAAATAATTAGTTTAGATTAAATACATAATTTCCTTTTGTTTTGGATCTATCTCATGAGTTTACCTAAACTCTTGGAACCTATAGGATTTTTTTTTCTTTTTTTTTGAAGTAAGCTCTAATGCCCAACATGGCGCTTGAACTCAAGACCCCAGGATCAAGAGTTACATGCTCTACCAACTGAGCCAGCCAGGCACCCTGGAACCTATAGGATTTTTTTATGTCCTTCAAGCATCTAGAAGTTTCCCCTTAAACTAATTTTCAGAGTTTGCTGAACAATTCCTTAACCATGTTGAATTACCTTTCCTTTTGGGACTTTTCCTTCAGCCTTTATATTCCCAGACAGAAGAGGCCAGCTTTTTAGTTGGCTTTCCTCAAGAATATCTTTCACCTCTAATTCTATTTGCAGAGAATAGAAATGCATGAAATATTTCCTGTGATTTGTACAGCTGGATCTCAAAATTAAGGTGCATATATGTTGCACATATTCAGGTGCATTTTAAGCTTGTGAGCACATGAGATAAACTTAGAAATTAGGGATTAATTGGTTTATTTCTCCATGTTTATGCCAAATTGTGTTTTAGCCCTGAGCTATGTTTAACTGATTGTCAGTCTTTTTAGAATGATCCTGCTATCGACTACTTTCATTGCCTCCCATCAATGTGTTCCAGGGAAATGAGGATAGGCTGAGAATTAGACTAGGATTTAAATCCTAATGTTAATTTCCTTGTCTAATAACCTTGGACAAATCGTATGACCCTTGGAGGCTTCGTTTCCTTATCTGTGACATGGCAATGTAGTAGTTACCTCTTAGAACGGATATGAAGATTGAATGGGCTCTCATGAACTACCTCACTAGCTTAAGGTATAAATTTTGTCATGCCTTTTAAAAATTTCTAATCACTTGAATACCTACATGCCAATAAATTTAGGATCGATCCCCTACTTAAAATCTCCTTTACAAATTTTTTTTTTAAAGATTTTATTTATTTATTTTAGAGGGAGAGGGAGAGAGAATCCCAAGCAGACTCTGCGCTTAGCATGGAGGCCAGTGCGGGGCTTGGTCCCAGGACCCTGAGATCATGACCTGGAGTTAAAATCAAGAGTCCGACACTTAATCAACTGAGCCACCCAGGTGCCCCTAAAATCTCCTTTATAAATTGACAAGAACTCTAGGGGCTTACTCTTTCAAGGGAGTTTCCTTCCCAGGATGGGGACAAACTGGGAAAAGCCTGGCATCCACTGGTAGGCCCTGGTATAAGCTGCTGCTGTTTTGTCGGGACCTTTTGAATCAGTTGGTTCCACCCAGTCCAATGGGCTGTTACCCATTTCTGCCTTGTCCCTTCTAGTCCATATCTTTGCATACAACATGGTGGTGCTGAAGCTTGGCCTCTCAAGGTTACTTCTTTTCAGATTACATCCACATACACCAGTCATTGTGTCCTATATCATCCTGTGACATCTGTGCCAGGGTGACTTGATCTAGAGGAAATTGTCATCAGTCCAGATACCCCTTGCTTTCATGGTGGGTAATTGGACTTTAGTATCTTTTCCTGACAGTGGACCTCAGCTGAAACCATCCTAATTCATTTGAGAAATTCTGATAGCACCGCATTTCAGAAGGTAAGAGTCCAAAGTCACCTTCGCTTTCAGGAAGCTCCTAACATCCACTAAGCAATGCAGCCCCCTTCTCCCCAGCTATCAGAGCTGAGTACCAAGCAGAAGTTCCTATCACATTGTCCTTGATGACGAATGTCTTATTAAACTCAAATTTGGATAACTAAGAAGGGCCTTTGAGTGACTTACAAAAAACAAAGAAGGTCTGCCAAAGGCCTTTTTGACATTATCCAGACAGAAATAATGTGATACCTTCTCTCACTAAAGTAAAAAAAAAAAAAAAAAAAGTTCTGCTTCACTAGATACAGACACATATGTATAAAGGACCTAGCATGCCCTGTCACCTAGTAGGTGCTTAGAAAATGTTTGGTCTCCCTCCTCCAATCTTCCTCAGCTCAACCACATCTCTGCCCCCTTCAGCTGGAAACACAAAGCTTTCCAGAGACCCAACTCGTTCCTAAGTGTCCATTTCTCTGCTTAGCTTTACATTGATACAGCTTTACATTACATTGGTTCTGGGTTGTCTTCTTTTTTTTTTTTAAGATTTTTTAAATTTAATTTCATTTTTAATTAATTTATTTAATTTTATATTAAGATTAATTGATTAATTTGTCAGAGAGAGAGAGCACAGCAGGGGGAGTGGCAGGCAGAGGGAGAAGCAGGCTCCCTGCTGAGCAGGGAGCCAGCCCCATGCAGGACTCGATCCCAGGATCCTGGGACCATGACCTGATCCGAAAGCAGATGCTTAACCACTGAGTCACCCAGGTGTCCCCTGGGTTTTCTTCTGACAGGCTCACCAAGCTTGGTGTAACCGTTGGCTTATTCTTGGGCATGAATCAAGAGTTGGTGGCAGTAGGTCTTCATGCTGACCTCTGATGGCCTCCAGCAAGGTTCTATCTTCAGAGCTGCTTTTAAGGTGTCTTTGCCTAAGCCAGTTGATACTTTCTTCAAATAGTCAGATTTTTTTTTATTTTTATTTTTTTAAAGATTTTATTTATTTCTGTGACAGAGAGAGACACAGTGAGAGAGGGAACACAAGCAGGGGGAGTGGGAGAGGGAGAAGCAGGCCTCCTGCTGAGCAGGGAGCCCGATGCGGGGCTCGACCCCAGGACCCTGGGATCGTGACCTGAGCCGAAGGCAGACGCTTAATGACTGAGCCACCCAGGCGCCCCAGTCAGATTTTTTTTTAAAAGATTTATTTCTTTATTTTAGTGGGGGAGTGGCAGAGGGAGAGGGAATCTCAAGCAAACTCCCCACTGAGCGGGCTCAATTTCACGACCCTGAGATCATGACCTGAGCCAAAACCAAGGGTCGGACGCTCAACCGACTGAGCCACTCAGGTGCCCCTCAAATTGTTAGATTTTATTTTACATTTGACCCCAGGATCATGACCTGAGCCAAAGGCAGATGCTTAACCAACTGAGCCACTCAGGCACCCCTTAATTTGTAGTTTTATGTAGCAAACATGCTCAGAGCACTTTGTCATGGAAAAGAATTTGCTAATCCAAAAATAAACAATGCATAGCTAATATCCCTCTTAAGACAGAGATGTTTTATAAAGTGTGCCTTGTCACCAACTGTTGCCCCATAAATAAACTTTATGCTTTCTGTGAGAAAGGGTGTGACATCTGCTCTTTTGTAGGTTTAGTTTCATGGAACCATATTTTCCTTGTCTGGTTTTCCAATGAAATGTGTGTCTGTGTGGTTAAGACACACACAAGGGCCCCTGGGCCATTGCGGTCAGAGGCTGGCCTCAGACTCTGCCTCCAGCCTTCAAGGCAAGCTCTTTATTACATTCTCTTGCAGAATTCCCAGACCTCACCACGAGGCTTAGGGGTGTGGCATCTCAAAGCCGACTCTGTTCTCCAAAAGAAAGTGACAGCTTCCTTGTATTATTTTGGGTACATAAATGAGTTTCCACATGTTTGATGAAACAAACCAGGTGCTTAATACCATATTATTCTTACAGGTATTTAATTATTGGCTTCAGATACAAATTCTAGTAGAAATAGAAGAAAAACTGAGGGGTGCCTGGCTGGCTCAGTCGGTAGAGCATGCAACTCCTGATCTCAGGGTTATGAGTTCAAGCCCCACGTTGGATATGGAGCCTACTTAAAAAATAATAAATAGGGCGTCTGGGTGGTTCAGTTATTAAGTGTCTGCCTTTGGTTCAGATCATGATCCCGGGGTCATGGGATAGAGCCCCACATTGGGCTCCCTGCTCAGCTGGAAGCCTGCTTCTCCCTCTCACTCCCCCTGCCTGTGTTCCCTTTCTCGCTGTGTCTCTGTCTGTCAAATAAATAAATAAAATCTAAAAAAAAAAAAAAAGAAAGAAAAACTGAGACCAATTCTGAAGCACTCCTGAAGTGATCCTTACTCCCTCCCGGCATTTCCTTAACTGATCTTTTGCTTTAATTTTTTTTTTAAAGATTTTATTTATTTATTTGACAGAGACACACACAGAGAGAGAGAGTACAGGCAGGGGGAGTGGCAGGCAGAGGGAGAAGCAGGCTCCCCGCAGAGCAGGGAGCCCGATGCGGGGCTCGATCCCAGGATCCTGAAATCATGACCTGAGCTGAAGGCAGACGCCCAATGACTGAGCCACCCAGGCACCCCTGCTTTAATATTTTCAACAGAAATGTTTTGCTAATGCGAGGAGGAGTGGCTTTGGCTTAGCACCTTTGTTTTTTCCAGTTGGTCTTCCTCTCCACAAAACATTGCATCCTGGTTCTTTGAAATCCCCACTGAATTTGGAGAAATTATGTCTTGGCACTCAACCTATTTTCCTGGAACACAATGTGATGCTGACGACACAGCCCAGTCACTCCACTTGACAATAAATTTGCTTGTCTCATTTCACTTGAATATTCAGTGGTGAGTAAGAACGGAAGTGGAAAGCCTTACTTACCACAGTTTATTATATGTTTCGTGCCCATGATAATTACTTTTATAAGGCCATTCGTGAATACATTGATCAGATTAGGCTGAATCACCTGGCTGGCCAATAGCCATCGGAATGATTCTCCATGCATGACTTGGTTGCATTATTACAAAACGTGGAAGAAGAGACCTGCCCAGCCAGCGCGGCAGATGTTCATTTGTGATGCTGCCTTAAGGAGATGAAGAGATGAGAGCGAATTGTTCCAGCAGCTCAGCCTGCACTGCTAACAGTTCGGAGGGGGAGCTGCCTGTGGGACCGGAGGTACATGGGAACCTCGAACTTGTTTTCACAGTGGTGTCAGCCGTGATGATGGGCCTGCTCATGTTCTCCCTGGGATGCTCTGTGGAGTTCCGGAAGCTCTGGGCGCACATCAGGAGACCCTGGGGCATTGCTGTGGGGCTGCTCTGCCAGTTTGGCCTCATGCCTCTCACAGCCCATCTCCTGGCCATCAGCTTCTCTCTGAAGCCAGCCCAGGCTATTGCTGTTCTCATCATGGGGTGCTGCCCGGGGGGAACCATCTCTAACATTTTCACCTTCTGGGTCGAAGGAGATATGGATCTCAGGTAAGGTACACTAGGGAAGCCCAGAGGTCACCCCCTGATAGCACTGACACTTCCATGTTAAAAACTGCTGATCTTTAGGTAGGGGTTCCAGTGGGCAGCATTTTATGGAGTTCAGTCTTGGAAGGACTTTCCTTTCTGAGCTTAAAATGTACTGTGCTGTGATCGTCCTCTGTGTTATTGGCAACTGCTTCTCCGAGTAGTAGGGCTTGTTTCATATGTAATAGAGGAGGCAGGCTTCCTCCTGCCCCGATGGCCTGTCCTAGGCATGAACTCATTCTCGCCCATACCGGCAGGGTTAGCAGTCCTGGCTCCCAGTCTCCCAGGACACAGGCTGAGAATCCCAGGAAGCTCACGACAGGGGTCTGTTTGGTGGTGGTGGGAGTGAGTGGTGGCGGCAGAACCAGAATGACACCCTCCCAGCTCTAGTTAGCACGTGTTACCTTTGCATCTATTTTATGAAACAAGTATTTGGGGGCATTGGATAAAGGAGCTTTTGGGGTGTGTGATAGACATGTCCTGTTTTAAGTGCTGGTGGTGGCCTGTTGAGTTGACCTGAGGAGCAACATAAAGGCTTTTATGACAAAAAATGTTCTTTCTGGTTGCTTTGCAGAGTAAACATTCATCACTAGAAATCTCCTTCCTTTGGTTTAAGCCAGGGACCTTATTTCCAATTGTGTTGTGAATAAATGCCCCTGGGAAACATTAGGCTTTATCATTCGTTTACACTTTAATGAGGATGAATTAATCACATATCTTTGGGAGTACCTGTTTCGATGCTGAAAAAAGGGCATTTGAAGAAAGAATAGAGGGGATGCCTGGGTAGCTCAGTCGGTTAAGTATCTGCCTTTGGCCCAGGTCATGATCCCAGGATCCAGGGATGGAGCCCCGCATTGGGCTTCTTGTTCAGCGGGGAACCTGCTTCTCCCTCTGCCTGACTCTTCCCCTGCTTGTGCCCTCTCTCTCTGACAAACAAATAAATAAATAAAATCTTAAAAAAAAAAAAAAAAAAAGAATAGGGAAGGCACAATTGGAAAAATAAAAGCAAAAAATGGTGGTGTTTCTAGATTCTTTGTTTACTTATGAACTGCTTCACCTTCTTCCCAAGGGAAGAATGACTTATGAATGTAAATCTTTGTTCGATGTGTATGTCATTTAGTTGAGATTTATTATGCAATGCACGAACGAATCAGAGGTGCTGATGGTGCTGGGAGTTCACGTCAGTGAACCAGCTACAGGTCTGTGTTTCTAGTTCTCTGTGTGTGCTGAATGCTCAGTGTATGAATATGTTTCACCTGTGAATTTTAATGGGTTCATTCCAGGCAGATGAATTAATTTTCATATGACAATGCTTTGAGTTACCCACTTATCAGGGGTTTGGAAAGAATCACTGATTCAAAAAAATGCATTAATATACACTGCTAATTCCAATTACATCAAGTTGATCATTAACATAATAATTGGAAGATGATAAATATTCTTTACACAGTCTACATATCAGTGATAAATTAGTGGGACCTAAATATTTTTGGAAAGAAAAAGGACATTTTATGAATTGAGTATGTTGCTAGGCATAAGGTAGTTGCTTTCATGTACTCTTTCTCTTCTTTCTTGGTTCTCTAATAACCTTGTAAGTGACCTTTTATTATCCTAAATGTTACAGCTGAGAAAATGGTGACTCAGATTGGTTAAGGAGGTTGCCAAATGCTACAGCCAAGTATGGAAGAAGGCAGATGTGAATTCACATCTGTTTCTCATCAGTCTGCAATTTAGGCACTTTCTTCCATGCCATTTATTAACACAACTCAATCTTCTGAGTAAGAGCATAAATCTTAAACCAGTGTTCTCAAACACTTCTGCTCTGGGAAAGAGAACATTTATTAACTTCATCTTTTATTAGCCGACATTGTAATAAAAATACCAGTGAATAGGAAGTCTATAAAAATAAAGCTCATTTTGCTTCCTTTTGCCAACTCTGTCCTTAATTAGCCTCATGTTAGTCAAATTATTTAACCTATAAACCTCATCTCCTCATTTGTAAAATGGGTTAAAATTACCTATTCCCCACAAGACTATTTTAAGGAGAAGATATACACTCAGGATGCCAGGCACATGATAGGTATGTAATAAATATTAACTGCTTCTCCCCCCCCTTTTTATTTTAAGATTTTATTTATTCATTTGATAGAGAGAGAGCACAAGCAGGGGGAATGACATGCAGAGGGAGAAGGAGAAGCAGGCTTCCCGCTGGGCAGGGAGCCCAATGTGGGACTGGATCCCAGGACCCCAGGATCATGACCTGAGCCAAAGGCAGACACTTAACCAACTGAGCCACCCAGGCGCCCCTCTCCCCTTTTTTAAAATTCTGATTTAGAATCTCACAAACAAAACAAAAAATAAGAAAAAAACAAAACCCTGTAAGAAATGAAATTTTTAAATGGTGACTAAACATTAGATTTTCAAAAGCTTATCAATACGAGAAATAAAATCTTAATTCTCAGTAAAAATTGCAAATAGGAGAATATTCAGTATTCTTGATTGAGACCGTATCCAAATTCATTACATTTCTTCCCACTTGATTACCAACAAAAATAACTTTTAAGCAAAAAAAAAAAAAAAAAAAGTAGTCCTTGATAGGAATTCTGTTTTCATGCTAGATAAAATTTGTAAGACTTTAGAAGAACATCTTCATTTCACAAAGGAGGAAATTGAGGTTTAGCTCTGTGCAGATCTCCCAAACATATGTCTCATGCCTTAATTCTGTGCTTCATTCAATCTACCTGCAGTTCTCCATGTGTTCACCCCAAGCAGGGCATTTCAGAATCAACATGTATGAACCAGTTTCTGCATTTTGCATATCTGATGATAACACCCATCACTGTCCCAGTTACCTGGGCTCAGCATTCTCCTGTGGCTCCTTTCATTCTTCTGCTCATTCACTGAATCCAACATCTAGACTTATAGCCCATCCTCTTGCTTGTCACTCACAACCGGTGCTTCCTCATTTATCTCCACTGCCAGTTCCTTAAGGCAGGCCCTCGTAATTTCTTTCTTGGCCAACTGCAGTATCTTCACAGTCTTCTCTCCACCTTGGGTCTCTCCACCATGGTTTTATAGTATGTGGATGAGGCAGGCTCTGGGGTCGGAATGGTCTATATTTAAATCCTGACTTGGGACCTCTTTCCAGTAACTGGAAATCATAACAGTTCCCTATGGTATTGTAAAGAGAAATGAATGTGATGCATATAAAGGCTTCTCAACACCTGCTAACTTGGGTAGACATTAAGCCAGGTCTAACCTACTTCTCCAGGTTTATTTCCCAATAAGCACAAAATAGTCTGTAGTCAAAATGGACTACTCACTGTTCTCTGAACATATCCCACACTTTCCCAACTTCCTTTGCCCATGTTGTTCCCACAGCCTGGACTGCCTATTTGGTCCCTTCTAGTCATAATATTATCCTTCATTATAGTTGTTCTGGAAAGCAACTGGCTGTTATGTATGAAGAGCCTAAAAAATTACCCTGTTCCTGGACTGAGCTCAGCTAGTCTTGGCTGGGTTCTTTTACATGTTTGGGGACTGGATAAATGTAGATTGGTCTTGGATGGCCTCATCTGGGAATACTGGATTCTCTTCCACATGGTCTTTCATTCTCCAGCAGGCTAGCCTAGACCTAATCATATGACAGAGGCAGGGTTCTGAAAAAGAAGAAGAATACAAGGTCTCTTGATATCTGGGCTGGACACCATTTCATCATCACTTCCACCACATCCCACCAGCCGATGCATTTTGCAAGGCCAGCCCAGATTCAAGGACTGGAGAAGTAGATGCTGCCTCTTGGTGGATGTGCTGCAAGGTCACATTGCAGAGGGCATGCCTAAGAATGGGGTGAAGAACTGGGGATATTTTTGCAATCTACCGTACTAAAGATGGACAGAAGTCTTGCCTTTGAGGGTAGGACGTGAAAACTAAGATGTGGCATTAGACTGTCGTAGTGAAGTGCACCGTGGAGCCAGCACGTAGAGCTGTCACTTACTAACTGGGTCATCTTGGCAGATCATATAAAGTCTTTATGCTTCAGGGGTGCCTGATAGCTCAGTCAGTTAAGCATCCGACTTGATTTTGGCTCAGGTCATCAGCTCAGGGTTGTAAGACTGAGCCCCACCTTGGGCTCCATGCTGGGCGTGGAGCCTGCTTCAGATTCTTTCTCCCGCTCCCTCTGCCCCACCTTCTCCACTTGTGTGCTCTCCCTCTCGCTAAAATTAAAAAAAAAAAATTCTTATGTTTCAGTTTCCTCACTTCTAAAATAGGGGGAAGCATAATCTACCTCATGAGTTGTTGTGAGGGTTGAATGAATATCTATAAAGTGCTTAGAATCTCAGCTGACACAAAATGCCATGCGTCATTATATGGGGCACTGTGTCAGGGTCTGTGGCTTAGTCTCTGCCCAAGAAGCTGTGTGACTGAGCAGTTTACTCCTCTGGACCTCACTTTCCTCTTTTGTAGAATCAATGAGTTAGACTCTCTGAGTCTAACTGAGTTTTGTACATAACATAAAACCGACCATTTTAATCCTTTTCGAGGGTACAGGTTAGTGGCATCAGCCCACTGACACTGTGCGGTCACCAGCGGCCACCTCTCCATAGTTGTCATCTCAAACTGAAACTCTGTACTCATTACACAGTAACTCCCCTTTCCCTTCAGACCCTGCCAGCCACCATTCTCCTGTCTGTCTCTTTGAACTGGACTAAATATCTCATATAAGTAAAATCGTAAAATGTTTGTCCTTTTGTATCTGGCTTATTTCACTTAACGTGATGTCTCCAGAGTGCATCCATGTTGTATCGTGTGCCAGAATTTCCTTTTCTTTGAAGGCTGTGTGTATATACCCCATGTATGCATAGGCATGTATGTATCACCAGATCCATTCATCTGTTAATGGACACTTGCATCGTTTCTGTCTTTTGGCTGTTGTGAATAATGCTGCTGTGAACACGAGTGTGCATATCTGTTGGAGTCCCTGCTTTCAGTTCTTTTGGGTATAAACCAGGAGCGGATCTGAGGCCTTTTTAAGTTTTAAGTATTTTGGACAATAGGAAAAGAAAAGCAATTTATGAGGTCTGTGTCCCCCTTCCCCCACCCCAGTTTTCAATGTTTTTCCTGAAATTGTTGGACAGAGATGCCTCTCCTCTCTGTCTGCACAGCATCAAATATGTACTCCTTGTCATCCGTAGGAGGGCACAGCAATGGCTGAGCTGTTTATCTGCCTGAGCCACCAGCTCTGCAACCGCCTCAAGGGCTTGTTCACCTGTGCATGCTCGGGGCCGGCCTGGTGGTGGGGTACGCGCCACAGACGCTGACTGAACGACTGAAGGAAGGTTTCTGATTGTCTGTGTGTGACATGAAAACCCCTCTGGAAATGCAGTCAGTTTATTGGTGCAACTTGGGACAACTCCCACTGTCTTCAGTTTGACAACTTGTGATATATGAGGTCCATTCTTCCCCAAGGATGTAGTTGTGTCCTGAGCTGCAGAGAAAGGACTCTGACTACTGGTGGTGGTGGAGCCTGAGGGGTTCAGTGGCCAGTTTGGCCTTTGACCTGTAAAGTAGCTCTTGGTCCTTCAGCAAACACCTGGGACATAGAACTCCAGATTCTTCCGGTCAGTCTGACATGGCCTGGTAGGGAACTGAAGATCATCTTATGAGACAGAAGTTGATTGAATCCATATGACTCCATGCAAGTTTCAATAACTCTCTGTACCTTGGTTTCCTTGCCTATAAAATGGAAATAGTACCTACACATATGGTGGGGCGCCTGGGTGGTGGAGTCGGTTCAGTGTCAGACTCTTGGTTTTGGCTCAGGTTGTGTGATCTTAGGGTCCTGAGGTTGAGCCCCATGTCAGGCTACTCGTTCAGCACAGAGTCAGCTTAAGACTGTCTCTCCTGGGCGCCTGGGTGGCTCAGTTGGTTAAGCGACTGCCTTCGGCTCAGGTCATGATCCTGGAGTCCCGGGATCGAGTCCCGCATCGGGCTCCCTGCTCAGCAGGGGGTCTGCTTCTCCCTCTACCCTCTTCCCTCTCGTGGTCTCTGTCTCTCATTCTCTCTCTCTCAAATAAATAAATAAAATCTTTAAAAAAAAAAAAAAAAGACTGTCTCTCCCTCACGCTCTGTCCCTCCCCCCCAAAAAATAAATAAATCTTTTAAAAAATACCTGCACATATGGTTATTGTATAGATGA